GAAATTTCCATGCTTTGTCTGATGAAGGTTGTGAGACCAGAAACCCGTGTAGCAAAATTATGGAAAATAAAGCATAATATTTTTTTAAAATCCACATTACAACCAAAAAAAATCCACATTAAAACCAACTTTTTAATATATATATATATATATATATATATATATATATATATATATATATATATATATTTAAGTTATGAAAAACTTGATAATTCGTATGGGTAGTCCCAAGGATGATGAAATCTTGAGAGCTCATTGTAAATCCAGAGCTAATAATTTAAAGAAAAACCGGCCACTTTAAGGTTCCATTATAATAATTTATTTCACCAGAGCCCTTTTAAGGGACGCTGGATCATCAGATAACACTTCCAAAAAAATGAAACAAAAGATTCACACTTTTGATGGGTAGTAAATGTGAATATGTATACCTTTAATCACTACCTAGGTTTCTGCTGCTAGGTGTCATCAGGTGATGGAGTAAATTTAGTTTTCTAGTGGCCAACAGTAAATATTGTATTCAAATATATATATTTTATATTAAAGCAAAAACATGTTAAATATTACTAGACAATTACACTTATGTGTCAACACTACAAATGTGTCTCCTTGGGTGATGGTAAACTACTCTGTGTCTATTGGGAATGCTTTTTAGTGAAATTCTGAAATTTGTTTTTTTCCAAGTTTGAGTATTAAATGTAAAAAGTGCGCCATCAAGAAGGGAGCAAAATATCCAGGTAAAATGAGAACAAATGGAGTGTAATTCCACCGTTCGTAACATTTGATTTAAAATTTAATCTAAGAGTAGTTTACCATCACCCGTGGCGAGACATTTGACATGTTGAAACATAATTGTAATTGTGTAGTGATTTTTAACACCTTTTTAATACCTTAAAATAAATAATATTTAGCCCTATATCCATCATAACCTGAGCAGAAAAAAAAAATCTGTAAATTTATAAGTTTGGGCCTGCAAAAAAAACAAAGGTGTCAAAAGGACAATTTTTCCATTGACTGCTATTATTTTAACTACATTCACTCTTCAGCAATGTTTGTTTTAATAAGTAATGATTAGAATTGTAATTAGACCTCAGCCTACAAATGTGAAAATAATAAACACTATTTATCAGATTGCTTATTCACACTATTTATTATATTGTTTATCAGAATGTTTTTGAAGACATCAACTAATTGCCAATTGATTCAAACTTTATAAAATGGTAAATAATGATTTCTTTAAAATTGGTTCACATATTTTAATAATTTCATAAATATTTATAAATTTATGAATACAAAATTATTTTCATATCTATTTGTTTATAATTGAGTTGATAATTTAGTTGATAATTTAGTTTTAATTGTATTAGATAATTTAGTTATAGATAATTTAGTTGATAATTTAGTTTTAATTGTATTAGTTTTTAGAATGCTGTAAATATAAAATTCTTCTTGTAAATAAACAATCTAGTAAATAAATACTGTTTATCCTTTTTGTTGTCAGTTCTCAAGAATAAAAAAAATGTATAAATTAGCTTTCATGATATGTTGAGGTTTGATTATAATTCTAATCATTGCTTTCCAAGACAATAAATATTGCCGAGGACTGAAGGTAGTCAAAATAATAGTGGTGTCAAGGAAAAAACTGTTCTTTCGCCACTCTGTTTTTCTTTCTTTTATTTTTTATTTTTTATTTTTTTTCTTTTCTTTTGTGGGCACAAAAGTCCAAGTTTGCCAAAAAAAATCTACCTGGATTTGGATGCTACTTTTATTCTACTTATTTTTGAATAATGCATATTTTTTTTTTTAATTTTTAAAAGTGGAAGTTTTAATTAATATACTTTTTTTTCAGAAATTAATTCAAAAAAAAAAAAAGAAAAAAAAAAAAAGGGATATAATTTTTAAAAACGGATAATCAAATGAATATTTATTTTTAATTTTCTTTTTATCCAGGGAGTTTTATTATATCCAGATGGAAAAATATGCTAAGCAAGCAATAGCTGAAGGATACAAAAATGCAGAAGACTTGATAGTGACAACTGACTCGGAATTATATAGGGTTCTTAACCTTCATTATAATCGAAACAATCAAATTGAGGTAAGCCTTTTTAATTATTTTTCCCTCAAAAACGTCTCTGAGGCCTTGTGGGTGATGAATTATTCTTCTGAGGCAAACCTTCACAACAAGAACACGCCATGTCAATTACATAGCGGCAAACCATTTACATTTCTTCTATATCCCCTCAATGAGAAGTACGTTCCACTTGAACAGCTTCTTCCCCCGACCCACTGACCTGTGGAACCGACTCCCAACAGGATGTTTCCCCAATCACTAGTCTTAACTTGTTCAAGGCTGGAGTTAACTGTTGTCTTCCACTTCTATACATACAAGTGGTCTCCTAACCTTAACATAACCCTCTACCTTGAGTGGTCCTTGGGCCTTGTAAAGGTTGAACCTTACTAAAAAAAAAAAAAAATTCAAGCAACTGGAGAAATTAATCATTGTATAATGTCTGAGTTTGTCAATAGCTTAACCCTTTAGCATTCAGCACACTCAAACCTGCCCTGTAAATATCATCTCACAAAGTCTTACTATTTGCATGATTTCCTGTGTTATTTGTGATGATGTCGTCATATATTATGGCATAGTATACATGTGGCGGGTTACGGCAGGTTGAACATTGAGATATTTACCAGGCAGGTTTGAGTGGGTTCAATGCTGAAGTGTCTAATATATTTTTAATTCCTTCTTATATTGGAATTTTATGGTAACTTTTTTATTTTAGTTCAGCCAGAAAATTATGGAGGATTTCACAAAGTATTACAATTTCCAAAGAATAAATGGATTTAACATATTTTTGTTACTTCAAATGTAATTTTTAGTGGCTAAAGTATATGAGTAGATGAAATAAACACTATTTAAAAAATGGAGTGAACTCAAATATGGTTATCCATTAAAAATAACATTTGAAATAATAAAAATATATTGGATTAAAAAATAATATCCATTAATTCTTTAGAAATTGCTTTGTTTACATTTTGGATATGAACCTGAGCAAATATAGCCTTCTGCATGCCAGATAACATGCTGGTTTCTCCTTCAACGGGGGATGTAGGTTTGAATCCTGCCAGGTGACATATTTTCTTTATGAAGTTTTCTTGAGTAGATGAAATAAACACTGTTTAAAAAAAAAAATGAAGGTTCTACTCAAATATAGGTATCTAATAAAATAACATTTGAAGTAATTAAAAAAGTATTACAATGTAAAAACAGAAAAATTTAAAATTTAATATTTATTTTTATATATATATATATATATATATATATATATATATATATATATATATATATATATATATATATATATATATATATATATATGACAAAGGAAAATTTCTTGTGACATGTTTCATCCATTATCCATTATGATTTCATTGGATGAAAAACGTTACAAGAAATTTTCAGTTTGTCATATTTTCTAAATACTGTTTGTTGATATATAAAATTATACAAAATTATATATTGTTATAATATATATATATATATATATATATATATATATATATATATAATTATTTATTTAAAAATTATAACATAAATATGTTATAAAATCACTACAAAAATAGCCATTTTGTTTCAACACCTCTGGTGTCTTATCAAGTGATAATGTTGAATGTAGATTGTAGAATAAAGGTTTTAAAAGGTTCAAATTAATTATATAATCATACAATTTTATTCCATTTTTAAAAAAAATGTTTCTGAAATATTTGCTCAATTAATCGAACAGGACAAAATAAACACAAAGTAACAAAGTATTTGAAAATGAAGAATACTGTGTGTCATTTTGAATACAAAATTTAATTATAGAATTATAATTCTAAAATAATATATTAAAATTATAATTTGATATTCATTATCAAAATTGTTGTAGTAAGAGTCAGTTACCCTTGTTACTATCATGACTAAATTGATCCATTAATGATAAGTAGTCCTGGGTAATTATTAAATTAATGATAAGTAGTCCTGGGTAACTGTCTAGAAAGGGAAGAAAGTAATACTATTGCAGTGACTTGTCTAGTTTGGTATCAAATACTACTATCACGACTGACTCTGTCGAGTTAACTGTTGTGTCTTGCCAGACCCCACATCACAATAAAAATCTAAAAATTAAAATTAAATAGCCTAGTGGTTATATTGTTGGTTGGTGAATTTGGTGCCATAGTAATTTTGAGTTCAATGCATGGGCCAGGCAGTGTGTACTTGGACTCTCTAGAAATGAAGTGAGCAATAATTGAGCAGTATTAAAAATAAGAACTAGACGACATGTTCCTAGACTTGGACAGTGGAACAAGAACATTTTACTCCTGTAAATTAAATAATGGGTTCCCTTTGAAATTTTCTACAGATTACCAAGATGAAGGCTGGAGGGTTCAGTGTTGTGATAACAACAACAAAGATGAGGACAATAGTCTGCATGTAAATAATGTAAATAATAACTCCTCATCTCATAAATTCAGACAGAAATTAAATATTTGGTTTATTTGAAACATCAAACTGAACAAAAATAACATGCTTTTAGATGTATTAATTTTTAAAAGACATTATCAATTTTTATTTGCTTGAAAGGAAAAAAGAACATTATTAATTTAACATTTGAATACAAATGGCTGAATTAATTTGCTATGGGGACAAAAATATGATTCCTTAAAAGAAAAAAGGAATGAATACTTTTATTTGTGAGAATGAAAAGAAGGATAAGTATGACATGGTATAAGTGACAAATAAGTAAAAAACAAAGTTACCATGGTAACAAAATGCTTCATTTGCCTTGGAAAGAAAAGGAGTAATTCGATCATGCAATTTATAAAGTTTATCTGCTGATTTCAATTAGTCGATTAGTTTTTAACTTTCTTGCCATTTGGGATGAATAATTGTTTCCCTAAAAATAACATTGTCTCAAATCTTACTGCCTATCTTCCTCTTTGTATATTTCTGCTGGCATCAG